ACACAGTGACGTCAATATCTCTACAAATATTTATTATTCTCTGCCGTATATCCAATATCGAAGCAGGTTCAGTTTCGTACACCTTTTGTTTCAAATAGCCCCATAAAAAACGTCCGAAGGTGTCAAATCTGGCGAGCGGGCTGGCCATTCTGTAGGACCTCGACGGCCAATCCAACGACCGGGAAAAGTGGTGTCCAAATAGTTTCTTACTTGTCTGGAGTATTGTAGTGGTGCTCCATCTTGTTGGAATACAATATCCATATCGAATTCATTAGGATTTACTTCGACGATTTCAGTGATGAGAGGGTTAACAGTAGTTTCCAGCTAATTCAAATACAGTTCCCCTGTTAAATTTTGATCAACAAATAGAGGTCCTACAATATGGTTTCCCAATATTCCTGCCCGAACGTAATTTTTTTTTTTTGATATTGGGTATGTATTTCCTGGAAAACATGAGAGTTGGTGTCACCCCAATAACGGCAATTTTGTCTGTGAACATTGCCGTTTAATAAAAATGTACATTCGTAACTAAAATAAATATTGTGGAGATATATAAGATGCCTTGCAATGGTTTCCGTCATGATTTCGCAGAATTCTGTTCTTCGATTAGGTTCATCTTCAGTTAATTGGTGTACCATTTTGATTTTGTATGGATTATACCCATTCCTCTTCAAAATTCCACAGTAGAAGGAGACACTTCACAATCATTCGCGACGGAATAAGTAGACTGGGAATTTGCTACCATCTCACCAATTATTTGCACTTGCTGTTCTTCCGGAATAGACGGATGACCTGGGGGCTTTTTGTTATGTATACTACCGGTAGTTGTGAATTTGGATACAAGTTCCCTCAAATATTTTCTACAGATAGAACGATTCAGAAAACGTTCATTGAAAATTCTTTCAGTCTCGTGAAAGTTACGCGTCGTACCGTAAATAAAAATCGCTTCAATTTTTTTTTCAATGGACGAGAATTGACCATTTTAGAGATTATTGACGTGGTACCTTTCTTCTAGTAAAACCGAAAACTAAATGAGAATATTCTAACTGAACAATGATGTTCATTGTCGTACTGACATTTTTTGTCGTTTTTATTAACAAAAATAACTTTACAAACCTTATCGGGTTGTTGGAATTGCCATATGGCAGATAAAATGTGTTTTTCTTCAGGAAATTATTGAATGTTCCGCCATTTTGTAGTAGATGAAGATATTGACTTCATATACTAGGGTTCTGAAGTATTTTTCAGGAGCTTTAAAATGATGTGTCACAAGACCCTCTTTCCATTTAATTTTTTTTCCAGATGGCGCCCAGTCGTCATCTTAAAAGTTTCATCTGTCAATGTCACTTCGAAATAAAGTATTGATGCATTAATTTCATTATCCTAAATTTCAATTTTTTTAGCTGACCCATTCAAAAATTAAAAGGGGGGGGACATTAAAAAAATGCACTGTATATCCGATACTGAATGATCGCGATCAGAATGTTATGATTCTATAGGGTCTTTATTAAGTGCTTTCTATTTTTGAGTTCAAATAAAACAAAGTGTGTGTGGGTTATCATCGAAATTTTTTATTCGTTTGAAAGACCAATTGATGCAATTACGTGAGGAATATAACATCGTTCAAATGTCAGCCACGACTTTTGTGGGTAGAACACATTCGCAGCGTCCAATTTCCATGACTTTGGCGAATAAATCAGACTGAATTTGACCGATGGCATGGGTTATGTTGGCTTTGAGAACCGCTGTGTTTTGTGGCTTATTCGCATTCATATATTAAAAAGTCTAACGGAGTCAAATCGCATGAACTCGGTGGCCAGTTCATATCACCTCCACACGCCCTCAAATCGCTCATGCAGAATATCCAATGTGGCATGTGGCATGTCGTTGGCATCCAACTGAGACCAAAAGAAGTTGGTAATCATCGACCTATAGTGCTCGCCGTTAATAGTGGTGGCCTGACCATATCGTTCTCACAGAAACCGATGAAGCCGCCAGCTCAAAATCCGCACAAAATCCGGGATGCATCGGACGCTCAAGTGATTGGTATCGTCCCAAATTCAACAAATTTGTTTGTTCACGTACCCATTCATTCAGAAGCGATGAGGCCCATCGCTGAAGATGATTTTTCGAAAATTTGGGTCAGTAGCCAACTGCTCCAGAGCCCATTCAGTGAACACACGTCGTTATTTATGGTCGTTTACCTTCAATTCCTGGGTCAGTTGAATTGTGTACGCGTACAGGCTCAAGTCACGACGAAACATTCGTCAATTTGTGGTCTGCGAAAAGCCGAATTCTTGTGAGCGACGTGAAATCGACTGCCTCGGATTCTCCTGCACACTCTCACAGACAGCAGCGACATTTTCGGCACATTTTGCGTTTCGTCGACGTACAGGTGTTTGTTAATCGTTTATTGATACAGTGGATTGAAATGTTTCCATCACATCGCGAATAGTCTCCGTAGGACGATTATGGCGACCGTAAAATGAGCGAAGCGCGCGGTACGTTGCCCATTTTGATAAAACGATTCAATTATTTGCACGTGTTGTCCATGGTGATTTGGCAAATGACAAGTAATTTGACAGATGTAACTTCAAGAAAACGACCGTTATCAATTGTCAATGTTCGGAAGCCACTGTTGGAAGACCCGTTATATGCGATGGCGTATAGGAGCCAATTATACAATATAATAAAATATTTGCGTAAGAAAGGTTTCAGCTTTCTATTTCTTCATCTTTATACAAAAAATTTAGGAATTTTTCAAAGAAAGGAAGAAATCAGCTATTTTGAAAATAAACTCTTTACAAAGATGTATAGGTCATGCAAGGAAGTAACTTGCATGGAACAGTGTCATCATCAATGGTAAATAACCAACGTTTCGGAATAAGACACTTTCCTTATTGCCTCTTCAGCACCAATCTAGATAACATTACGAAATGGAGAACTCAATTCACTGATAAAATGACGACATCAATTCATGAAGGAGTTGGATCTACTCATGCCGTCGATGACAGTGCGTAATGACATACATTCGCTCATTTGATTAAATCCCAGCCATAGGAGTCTTCTTTTATCTGAAAGGGATTTATTTTTGTGAGAGATTCATTTTTGGAATAGAAAGGTTTTGGGCTTTCTACTTCATACATGGAAATATGGAAATATTCCAAAGAAAGAAAAAAATCAATTAATTCCAAAATAAACTCTTTACAAAGATGTGTGGATCAGGCGAACCTTTTTTTCCGAAAACTAATCTTTCCAAAAAATAGCCTCTTTGAATTAAATTGAATTTTTTGTGAAGGTCTAAAAAAGAAACGATGCATGAAGCGTTCAAACATAGAAACAAAAAGTAAGAAAAGACATAATTTATAAAAGCCATGGAATGAATTTTCACCGTTGTCGGAAAGTCCCCCGTTCATTTTCTAAAATCTGGATTTTTCTTGGTGCCAGCATAGATATTATTTCACGATGAATGAATGATCAGAAATGAAATATTGGTATCAACATTTGAGGGTCACTGAGGATACACTATTTATTTTCCAGGATAGTTTTATATTTGTTGACTAGTTTCGGTCATTACACCATTTTCAAAACCTTGGGTCAATAAAAAACGATTTCCAGCGCAAAACAAAGCTTGCTGTATTGTTGAATATGTTTTACGAACCATATATTCTCAGACATTAATATGCAGATATTGATTGAATATTACTGGAATTTCATCCTAACACCAAACCGTTATTTTTAACACCTCCACACGTGTTTCAGTCGCCAAATGATCATCTTCAAGAGAAAGATTAAAACTCAATCTCTTAGAGACAACACAAATGAAGAATATCCAGGTAGTCTCCCATACTAGTAATTGAGAGTAATTTGACTGATTGAATTCTTGTCGTCGAAAGTACAAGAAATACAGAAGATGGTTTTCAAATAAATATCACAAACCTACAATGTAAATCAATGACAAGGTCCACAATTTCGTCAAACAACCTCTGCAAAATATCGCCGTAAGATTTGATATGCTATTTTAGTTTGTTGATAATCAGGTATTCAGCTAGAGCAAACGCAACTAAAGGATTTTATGGTTTCAATAACCATGTCTCTATGTATTATCGTGACATAACCAGTTTACCAATGAAACTTGAACCCTATTAGTCTCTTCCCTGTCCGATTCCCACTTATCGACCCACACTGAACACAAAGTAGACGGAGTCAAAAGATCCAAAACAACTGATTACCTAATGGATACCAACTTTTTCGAAGACAAAGATTTCTCCGACAGTCCTGTACCGGTAAAATCGGAAAAAAAGGTTTCTAAAGAAAAAGCGACTGCCAAAAAGACTTCCAAATCTAAAGCAGCAGGCACTAAAAAAAGTTCCAGAAAGACTAAGGAAGTTAAGACTGATGTAGAGAATAGCAACTGAACTTACTGAACTTTGCGATTAACTACTACCGTACAGTAAACTCATTTGCGAATATTATGATATTGGACAACATACAAATGATTTGGTGGGCCTCAACCAACCGAATGATTCGTTTGTGTCCCAAACATATGATGTCAATAGATTTTTTATAAATATAGGCTTCGCCACATGGTTATTTTTTGTCAGATATGTAGAGTTTCCGAAAAATACAACAGTTCGTACCAATTACCTGAAGTTTAGCGGAAATGATGTTTGACTTGCCAATGAGAAATGTTAAAACAGATACGAGTCTCCAATCTCACCTCTCATCTTTTTGAATATACACTTAATCGAACGATTTTCTGATTGATACAGTTTTAGCGAAACATGTAATATATTTCTCAAATAAAGTTTGTGGAGATCAAATCGTAAAGTGAACTTTATGAAATTAATCAAACGATTTTATAATAAATTTTTCATCTTCAACATAAATATAAAAATGTCTTACATAGCACCTCCTAGTAGAACATTAAGAGGATATTTTCACAAGTATTCGATGAATTCTCAATATTAAAAACTCATTTGACATTTTGCTCATTTCAGATGGCATTGTTGACTTGATAGAAGCTGCTGATCTTTACGAAGAACCAGACGGGATAGTGAGAATCTTAGGTCGTTGTTGGAATAATACAGAGGAATATGAACCGAAGAAACAAGATTGGGCTTACAGGTAAATTTTGAGAAAAAATATTTGAGATGAATAAGACTATTTCACCGGAAAACAATCAACCAATCTGTACGTAATTCCCATCAATCAGAAGGTATTGTCTTTTTGAAAACAAAAAAAGAATTGAAACTTTCTATGTTTTCACCTCTTTTATTTGTAAATAACGTAACTGCAGTTTCGTCCTATAAGGACACTTTCAAACTTATACATTAAACTAACAATGGTTGATTACATTAGCCCTTATATAGCACCCCTGTAGATAATAGAGGTACTTGGCTTGATTGAGTACCTGAATTTTGTTTACTAGTTACAATGCGGATATGATCATTTGAAAATCGGTGAGTTAACTGAATCGATTTGATCATTTAACAGGTTGCACCCGCAACGTTTATGCTTGTGAATTTCCAAGGATTATAAATAATTCAGTTTACAACCCTTCCTTGAATAGTGCAAAATTTCCGTATGGTTCAGATTCGGGAATTTGTGGTTGCATGACAAGGAATGGTTTGAAAACATCGAATCATTTTTTCTCAGTCTGAAGGGCCTTTCATGATGCTGAACACCGTTTTTGTAAATGTCGACCACATTGTCCCACATAAACACTATTACACTCCGGTATCTGCGTTGAAACCATTACTATGACCTATCTGTGTAATTATATCAATTTCCCTAGCTAGATTATTAGCAGACAAAGGCAGTGAGAATGCTCTGCGCAACTTTGAATTGTAGGCTGTTAATTTATGACTGTCTGGATGGAAAGAATCGCTTGCGATGGTAATATTAATAGCAACTGTCAGTTCACACTCGAAACAGAGATAGAGAAACAGATAAGTTTCTTAGACCTGACCATTACACACAATCAGAATAAATTTGAGTTCAATGTTTTCAGAACACCTATACAAACATTACCATCCTAAGCGATCCTTTCCATCTGGACAGTCATAAATTAGCAGCCTAAAATTCAATGTTGCACAGAGCATTATCACTGCCTTTGTCTGCTAACAATCTAGCTAGAGAAATTAATATAATTACACAGATAAGTCATAATAATGGTTTCAACGAGGATGCTATCCAGAAGTTAGTCAGAAAACAAAGCCATAAATTCACTTACAGATTAATATACCCTCAGGTCAAACAACCAGAAATCAAGAAATGGGTAACTCTAATAACATATTTTGGAAAAAGAACAGAGATAATTGCGGGTTTCTTCAGAAAGAACTATGAGGAAGTGGCATTCAGACCACATGCCAGGTTATCTGATTTCCTTTTCAATGCCAAAGATAAGGTGGATAAGTTGGAGAAATCTGGAGTTTTTAAGCGTAAGTGCGTCCGGAGTGTAATAGTGTTTATGTGGGACAATGTGGTCGAAATTTCCAAAAACGGTATGCTGAACATGAAAGATCCTTCAGACTGAGAAAAAATTATTCGGCGTTTTCAAACCATTCCTTGTCATGCAACCACAAATTCCCGAATCTTAACGATACAGAACTTGTGCAGTATGCAAAGAAGGGTTGCAAACTCAATTATTAGAATCCTTGGAAATTCACAAGCATAAACGTTGCGGGTGCAACCTGTTGAATGATCAAATCGATTTAGTTTACTCAACGGTTTTCAAATTAGCATATCCGCATTGTAACTAATAAACAAAATTCAGGTACTCAATCAAGCCAAGTACTTATATTAGCACCTACAAGGGTGCTATATGAGGGCTAATGTAATCAACCATTGTTAGTAAAATGTATAAGTTTGAAAATGTTCTTATAGGACGAAACTACAGTAACGTTAGTTACAAATAAAAATGGTAAAAAACTTAGAGTTTCAATTCTCTCTTCTTCATTATGATCTCCTTCCACGTAGTAACGGCTACATCCATAAATTTATTGTCTTTTTATTTTTCTATTTTACTTTTATTGAAACATTCGTATAGAAGGTCAAGAATCAAACTAGCAGTTGTATAAACCTGTCATAATATCTCATTTCATATCCTTTTTCCAGGTGGAATGAACATGCTCAAATTTCACTAAGAACGCTGGACTACTTTCCAGATGCTTTTCCCACGGACTTTTCCGTCCTAATTGTGGCGAGGCCCACCCCAGGTAAGTCTCTCATTTCAGTAAAACTACTACTTGAGATTTCGGATAATTTTCATCAAGTATCTATATATAGTGTGGATCCTTTTTTCGTAATAAATCAGTTGGGCTTTTGGAAAAATTAGATTTCATTCATCAGGCCATCATCTCTGAAGTTCAAGAACAAAAAGGATAATATCACATCACTCATGTTCTCTTTACCCTTCAAAGTATAACAAAAAACAAGAAGACATATAAATAATTTAAGAAAAAAGGTCGGAAAAAAGTCATTCCAAAATAAGCGCTGTCTCCATATACCAGAACTGAAACACTCTTCTCGGTGCGCTTCTCACCAACCAGTTTAGCGTCATCATGAGATGAAAAAGATTGCCATATAACTCTAGAACTGGTCTGTATTTATATTTATTAGGGCACAGTTTCACTTTCACTTTCTGTTAGAATTTCGCGGGAAAGTTTCTGCTGATTTCGACATGCCTTTTACCAAACGGAAATATATTTGTTTAAAAATCTGTTTAAAATCTGTTTTTCCATTAACCAGCTGTCGCGCCCCTACGAACGACAACCCTCAGAAGTCGAAACTTGTGCGAGCTAAGGATTAACAAGGTCTTATCTTTTAACGTGTAATTCCTAACACGGATTTAGAAATCAAATATCTGTATATTAAACGAATCAGGCTTAGATCAAAGGCATTTGAAATATACCAATTACTAACATATGAGCTCGAGGAGACAGAACAATGGGATAATTATCAGAGACAAATGTTCTCTGTTGAATCAAAAATCACCAAGAAAAAAGCTTGTTTGGATAAGAAACTTAAAAAACATGAAAGTTGAAGAAACGAAGAAAAGTCAAAGAAAGTTATCAATATTTTTGAAAATCTTTCGAATGAATATTTTGATAAGAAAGAACTTGATCTGTTGAATAAGGGTTTCAAATTTGGTTTGAATCCTCCAAACAAAGTCTTGAAAGATATAGTCGGTGTTGAAGGTGCAACTCAACACTTACTTAAGTCATTGAACAGGTTTGTTCCAGAGACAATTTGTCAACGAAGACCAATATTCATCTACAAAAGATGAAAGATTTTCAAAAAATCTGAAATGAAAGCAGAAAAAGGCAATACTCTTTGATATCGGACAAGTCAGATCACTTTGAAATAATTCATAATACCATTGATTGATGACCCTATAATGAATTACTATCAAACCCATTGCATGAGATAGTTTCGGAAGTCAAAAACACACTCAAAAAGTGTCAAAAATTGATCATATTGCAAAAGTCTAATTGCTAAATGGCATATCAAAACGTTTTGAAACCCTCAATATCAAAATTGAGGGAAAATGTTGTGTCATATGAAATTATAGATAAAATTAAAAATATAAAGTTGAGAGATGGAGAGATTTCAGTGTCATTTGATGTATCCTCGTTGTATCCATGTGTCTTTATACCAAAATATATAGAATATTTGAGGGATCTTCTGGGGGTCAATGGTCTCACTGGAGTACTAATCGAAGACTACATACAGCATGAAAACACAGAAATGGGAAACCTACAGTTCCCTATACATGACCTAAAATCAATTTAGTTTTATTTTCCGGATCACTAACATTTTTTAATTTTGTTTTCACTATGCACACCATTAAAGAATATATGTTAGTTAATTTTTCCATTGGAAGGTTAACTGCAATTTGCGAATTTTTATTCCTTGTTCTAGGTCAGATTTACTCTCTTTTCACCTTGTATAGTCGAGATGGAGACGTGCAATTCTCAGTTACTGTTGGAAAAGATGTTAGTGTATTCTACGAAGATGAAGATGAAATGCCCGTAGAAGATAATCTGATATCCTTTGGAATTTCCTTGGATGATGGACAGTGAGTACTTATTTTAACTAGTATTTTCGTTAGTAATAAAATGTTGCATTGAGAAATCATGTAGCAAAAATACTTTTCAAGTACCTAACTAAATATTTGCTTATACGAAATATTCTGAATAAATCATAACTTTTTTCTTTTCTTTAATAGTTCGTAGCGTATGAATCAAATTACCTAGGGATAAACTAGGCACTTCAAGAAAATTCCTATTTTTTTTTCATTTACATCGTGTGGAAAAATGATTATGGATCTTCATGTTAGTTCTAATAATCCGAGAAAACGTATTTTTCAAGGCTAACGAATGCGCCCTGTGAGATACCCAAGAATATCGTAGTAAATGACTTGAAATAGAAAAAACATATTGGGAAAACTACAAAACAGTTTCAGCTATGTTGATCAGTTTTACTTCATTCGTTGAAAATACTATATAGCGACATGCGTCTTCTTCCATCAAATGTAAAAACAAATCGCCATGAATCAAACTTCATCTGATTTGTATAGATAAAGTACTTCTAGAACTGATGTCGATAACCTCAATGTTAGGCATGTAAGTTTCATTACATGAAATCTGTAACGCTGCAGAGATTTCAAACCACCCCAAACATAGATTTTTCTGTTCAATGAATAAAAAAGCTGCCTACCTATCTACGTGAAACAATTTCACAAACCACTGGTTATTTGTGAAAACAAGTCAACTTCGCATTTTTTTTTTATATTGCTTAAGAGACGTATTCAGATAAGAATCGAAATATCATAGAACATCTATTATTATATCGGAGACTTTCAAGTATTTTTCAAAGGATTTTTAACAAACCTGAAAGGAGTGTTCAACAACTCTTTCATAATTTTTGGGCAAGAAAGTTTTTGGCTTTCTACTACTCCATCTTGATGCAAAAAAATGTGGCAATCTTTCAAAGAAAGAAAGGAAGCAATTAATTCCAAGTACAGAAGTAACTGTACCTATACATAGATGTGTAGATAATGCAAAGAAGAAGCTTTTAGACACAAACTGGAAGAAAGAGCTCTCCTAAAACAGCTTCTTTCATTCAAACATTGAAAGAAAAATTCTTTCGAAACAAATAACTTTTATATAAACACGGAATTATACAAAAAACACTTTAGAAAAAACTAATCAAAACAGTTTAATGTATGATCTTCACTATAAAAGGGTTTTACAAAAACCACGACACGTGTTTTGCTATACAATAGCTTCCTCAAGATTTTATGCTTGAGGAAGCATAAACTCTTGTATAGCGAAACACGTGTCCCGGTTTTTGTAAAACCCTTTTATAGTGAAAATCATACAATAAACTGTATTGATTAATTGAATAGGACTGGCCGATACTTGATGAAAATCCATATTTAAAAAACTATTTTTTTTCAATATGGATTTTCATCAAGTATCAGCCAGTTCTATTCAATTAAAAAACACTTTACTCAGTTTGTATTCCAAACATTCATGATGTTATGATTTGTATAGTGTAATTGTCTGCAACATGCATCATAATGCGATTAATAAATTCCTAAAGGCGACATTTCTTTTTAAAATTGTCTATAAATGATAGATGATAAATAAATCTATAACTATCTACTTCTATAGCATTACCATATTAAAAAAGACAAAAGGATCATGAACAATATCGTTATAACAAAAACAAATAGTTTCTGAAAACCCATTCGACTATGACAAACTGACAATTTTGTTAACAAATTTCACAATATGAAAAAATTTCATACCATATTCCTTCCATGATTCTTATGCACGAAATCCGTCAAAAGTCTAAAATCTTCAAATTTCTTCAATATCCGAAAAACAATGTCAAGTTGAGTTGTGTTTTGTGAATTATTTTCCAGAAGGAGCTTTTTACCGTCGACCAAGTTTTTTTGGCAACACAAATTTGTAGTTTGTTTGGTTCTTTTCATTTATATAAAATCTCGTAATCAACATTGGAAAGCTCCTCCAATCTTCGTGTTAGGTCATATTTTTCCACATAAAAACTAGTGGTTTCAAGTTACACAATGAAATACAGCATCTACAGAATATTTTTTTCTCGTGTAGTTTTTCCAGAGAGAAAAAGTGACAAACTGCCCTAAAAATTACCGCTTCACCTTCATCTAAGAGGTATTCATAAACTTTTCTAGATTTCGCATACGTACGACATTCAAATTTTATGTTGTGGCAATACATCATTTTTGTTGTTATAATTCATGATGTAATGATGTAAGAGTACACGGAAAAACGTATCAAAAGTGGCATATGTTAACAATATTGCAAACTCAAAAGTATCACATATTTGCTGATGGTTTGGGATTTTTGTCACAAAATTGACAAATGACGTTTAGTACTGCTAGGTGGATAAGTGGACTTGTGGCATTTGTTGGTATTTAGCGTTGAATAAACAGATATTTTTGAGACTCCTCGGTATATCATATAAAGTAATTCATGTCGAATTTTCGGTTTCAATAAAGTTTTTCCCTGGAGTATCGATTCGGATGACCAGAGCATCACCTCTAAACCAAACATACGTCACGATTGCCATACCTTCAATTTCCATCACTCTCTGGTGAATGTATAAAATGACATTAGGTCGTCTTTGAAACTTTTCAAGAGATTCATTGAAGAAAAAATTAATTCAAAAATCAAATCCACATCTGGTAATTTTAAGGAACAGTACCATGGTCGTAGTAATGACTCAAACGAGACAAACTTCTGCAAATTCTGAATATTCTGAATCATTTTCATTTGCATTTCAGAGGACTTAAAACTAACGCAGGAAAAATCTATCGGCGATTTTGATTTCACAGAAATTGAAAGATTCTCAAAAAAGAGTGGAAGTTTTCGCAATCAAAAAGAATAGAAAATCAATAAATTGATGGATATAGCCGTTACCACGTGGTAGGAAATCATAATGAAAAAAAGAGAGTTACAACTCTCTTTTCTACCACTTTTATTTGTAAATCACATTACTGCAGTTCCGTCTTATAAAAACATTTTCAAACTTATACATTAATGCTTAATGTATGTTGTTTAATGTATAAGTTTGAAAATGTCTTTATAGGACGAAACTGCAGTAACGTTAGTTACAAATAAAAGTGGTAAAAAACATAGAAAGTTTCAATTCTCTTTTCTTCAATAAAAAAATCATACTCAGCTTCTATGAATGAACTAAATCTTCCAATCAACCAAGTACAGCACACAAAATTCACCTCTACCAACGTTCCTACACAATAGGATGTGACAAATGTCTTCCATCAAATACCTACTTCCTCGGCTAGTACCACGGTGGACATTTGATTATATTCGATAGACATTTATGCAAATAACCTCGCAGAAGATGGTCTTATAGAAATCAGTCGAATAGAAGACATACGCTTGGCTGAAAACCCAAATAACACTTGCAAATTTGATAGTGTCTAACTTGTAAGAATTATTGAGTAATTTTCTCTTGACTAAAGATACTTCCACGGTGGGGTTCAATTGACTTATCCTGCAGAACGGTATATTAAGTGAGGAGAACTCAACAAAACACAACGAAATTCCATTTAGAGAATGACTCTTTTGTGGAATAAACATTCCAAGGCGGTTGATCCAAATGACTATAATCTACATAAATTTTTATCCTTTGTATATCACAACTTTCACATAGACACCATTTTCGAACCGTTTTCAAGGATGTTTCCACAGTGCTTGTGCATCTACATAAAAGAAATTATGGCATACTGAAGCAGAGGTATTCGAAAAACTCAATTATTGTTCATTGGATCGATCAGAGCATACCAAATGTGATTATACTTCAGTACACGGCTAACAGAGGGTCTACGGGGGGCATCAGAATGCCGAGTGGGGTGTCACCCCACTCAGTGCTAAAGTTAAAATATCCGAGATACGGGCGTAGAAAGCCTTGCCCCAGTAATAGGGGGCTTCGTCGTGATTGACCTATTTTCCTCGATACCCTTGGAACCCTTCATGGACCATATAGTTGTCAAAAAATTCGACCCTAAGTCTACAAAGAAGATAGAAGTCGACTGAATGACCCCAACTATCCTCTTTATAACATCAGACCAAGAGCAATAATAAATCCAGGAAGCCAGTTGAATCTGCATCAGGAGGAGAAAAAAATTTCCCCTGAGCAGGTCAGTGAACATATATACTCAAGCGATGATTCACCCAAACCAGAGGCAAAGAAGCTCTGCATGACTGAAAACTGAAACAACAACTTCAAGAATAACCAAACTAATAGTATATCGTTGTGGATGCCGATGAGGATAATCCAGAAGGATTACAGAATGGCACATTCTGGTCTGGATGGTTACAAATTACAACATCCGAAGAACGTCTCTTGGCTGGTAAGTGCAGTTAGTTACCATGTAGTCATGGGAGAGCATCTACCTGAAATGCGTGACAAAGAATGCAGTCTGAAACCGCCGCGAAAAGTCTAAGTGAGTACCGAACAGACTACAGAATTCTACGATGGACTTTTACCGATATAAAAGGCCGGCTTCTCGTCCAGAGAGGGCAGTTGAGTTTAGAAAGATAATCGAGCGGTTAAACAAGGAATTCAAATAGTGGAGATAAATTAAGCGTTAGTTGCTGAGTGTTGAATAGAAATTAGTTTGTGATAGTGTGTATGTGCTCTGTTAACAGGGCTGGAGTTTCCCTGTAAAGAATAATGCACTTCATCTGATCGATGGTCAATCTACGACTACCTTCGTTAGATAGGAAAGCAACACGAATTTTTTTGATGACTTTCAAATAGTATCTACATCTCAGTCAGATCTTTGACCGAATAATAGTCATTTATGGAAGTCATAGATGATATTCATACCTCAGTAGATGGTAACAAATTGCGTGCTTCAGTTTTGATAGATTATTCCAAGGCGTTCGACACAATCAGCCATCAGCTCCTCTTGGTTTTATTAAAGTAACTGAGGTACTTCAGATTATTTCGTGAAACTCATGGAAATAAAATAAATAAACATGGAATTCGATAAATCCTCCA